CAGTAAAGATATTCACAAATGATTGGTGTCTCAATTTTAATGTCAGAAATATACTTTTACAATTCGGGTCTTGTCATTTTTATGCAGGATAAAAAAAACAATATAAAATTGATGATTAGATGCAGAGTTTTGCAATTTCTGACTTTGGCATTTAATATGTTTGCTGTTAATAGTCAATTTGTATTTGTATCCAGTAATTTATGTACAAACACAGTGGATCTTAGTTTTGTGACTGGATCACATTTTAATAAATTATGCCTGTTTCATTGCACCAGAGAGAGGGATCAGTGCTTGCACCAAGGCCATTGACAATTTAATGATAAAAGATTTAATCACCTGATCAAGATAATCTCCAACAAACATTTCTAGAGTTCATTAACATTTTCAGTGATTATACCAAAGCAGTAGATTATATTTATTTATGCAAAATTTATTATCAATTTAAATCTAAAATCAGTTGAAAATAAGGAGACAACTGTACATTAAATTTACAACCTGATATGTAGCAGGCATTTCAGGTTTTCAAACACCTCTTTGTTGTGTGAATTTGGTGCATTGAGTCTCTCTTCCATCTGCTTCATGAGTAAGGAAGAGCCTAAGGTCTATCGAGAAGAGGAGTTGGAAATACTAATTGCTCACTATGGATATGAGCAAATCCACAAATGGATTGAGGATGGAGAGGATCACCAGATGACTACTCAGCCCCTCATTAATGCTGTTCAGTCTTGATTGGAATGTAGGGGAATAAATTTTCCAGAATTGTGAAATCGTTAATCTTAAACGGAATTTGGGTTTTTAATGTAATTTTTAATAATAAATGACAAATTAATTATTTGATTTTTTTCAGATTTTAAAAAAAATTTTCAAAACTTAACTGTTTCTCTGATTTTGTTAAATATTTTAATATAACAATAGCGTAACATAGTTATTTCCTTAAAATTTGTTTTTACAAATCCTTGTAGGTATTTTCCTTATAAAACCCAAAAAATAATTAGGAACAAAAATGTTTACATAAAAAGTGGGTTGTCGATTTTTGAAAATATGTTGGCTAGTCTATTTTTAAATATTTTATAACTTTTCTAAGAAACTATGTTGCAAATGAGATGAAAGTCAGAAGGTCACAGCTTGGTTGTGGCAACCAAAATCCATTGCTAAAGTGGAAATGGAAGACAGACACTAGTTGATGTCAAAATTGGAGGGGAGAGAGAGACGAAGATCAAACCAATAAGTTTAAGAAATTCATTTTCTTTAGGCCTCACACAATTTACAAGTAAAAGATTCTAAACAACTTGTAAGCTTGTTTTATGAATATGAAAAAGTAAACGCTATCACGTGCCTACCATGCACTTTAGAAAAAAACAATTCTCCAAAAACACCATTCTATGAAACGACTGGCTTGTCTAAGCTTACACAGCAATTATCCCAGATTAATAATTGCATCATCTTCAGTGCTTTACCATTGTAAACAAATTTAAATTGAACAAAAAATCCTTTAATAACATTAACAATCAATGATTATTTTTTCATATTTTATTTATATTTTGTAATCTAAACCAGTTCTATGAATAAACAACAAATTGCCAAGAAAACTGAAGTAGTGAATCAACCACAAATATACCTGCATCATTTGATCTTTTTCAACATACCTTCCACTGTTCTAGTTAACTTTCATTATTGTGCTAAACATTTCATAGTAATTGACTGAGTTAATTTTTTTCTCAGTTAAAATTGCATTTGCTTTAGTTGATTGTTTTTAGATTGGTGACAGTTTGTAGAGACTGTCAAGGTGGTGAGAAAGTTTTTTTTCATGTGTTAAAATCAGCACTCTTAACTTATTTTAGTACAACGTAGACTATCACCATTTTGTTTTTACTTGAATTTATACAATGTTTTGTTTACATATATACTCACCTCTATTTTATTTGATAATTTTTATTTTGATGCTATTTATGCTGTTAGAAAAAAATTATTTTCTTTGAATTTTGTATCACACAGATGTGAAAGTTTGGACATCCATATTTCTAAGCTGTTTCAAGGGTCGTTACTTAAACTTTTTAAAGAAAGTTTGTTTAATCCAATTCATTTTTTATAAGAAACCAAAGTCAACACATCCAATTTATTAATTTCATTAAAAAAAAAAAAATCTTTTGTTCTGTCAATTTAAAAAAAATTGGTTCTGTTATAAGTCTAAAAAGATATAGTTTCTTAATTGAACTGTGATTAAGTCTAAATACTGTGTTTGTTATGAATTTGTTAATTAAAAAAAAACTTTTGTTCTGTCAATTTATGCAACATGGGATGATTAAGATTGTTTTTCTAGACCAGGGGTTTTCAACCTTTTTGCTAGAGCGGAACCACAAGGAAACATTCCAGTGGCTGGAGGAACCCCTGCAATAAATTGTCTTATGCAAAAACAGCTTCAATTATTAAAATAAAATAAAAATACTCATCTTCAGATTTATTTACAAACAAATACAAAGACAAACTGTAAAAATATTGTAGACGTACATATGCAATTTTAATCTTGTTTCTACGGTTATTACACATGTATGAAAAAAATTCAGTTTAAAGTTTATTTTCATTAAAAATTCAATGAGAAACTTGAGCCTGATGTTTCTTGCACAAATCTTTAATATTGGGTCATGTTTTTGACAGATACACACAAAGTTCATCTTCAGCACATATCTGCACAGGAGAATTAAAAATTACTGTTCAATGATAGTACTTGTGTAACTTCTTGTGGAACCTCTGGGCTTTACTGGCGGAACGCTAGGGTTCCGCGGAACCCTGGTTGAAAACCACTGTTCTAGACAATGGTAAAAAAAATTAGTCTGGATCCCTGCAGTTTAATACTAGAATTTATTAAGACCCACTCAAATTACTGGGGACTCACGACATTAAAAACCTATCAGCATCACTGATTTACTGAAGACTGCTTGGGTTCCTGATCATCTCTATTTTTTTTTTTAAAGAAAACAATTTAAAAGAAACATTACCTTATGTTCTACTTCTAATTGCTTAGGCACAAATATAAAACTAGAAACTGATCAAAGGTGTTTCTCATACTCCGTAATATGGTGTGTTTAAAGGAAGAAACAATACATTGTAACCATACTGTCAGGTGCTGATGTAGATTTATTTTAGTTAAACACTCACAAGGGAAGGATTTAAAGAGTTGCACTTCGGTATTACTTTCTGCTTCTGAAGTACCCATCACAGAGTGGATGAGTAGGGTGATGCAACCTACCCTGTTGAAAGAGGTCAAAGAAAGAAAGAAATGTTGCTTCTTGTTTAACATCAATTTTCCTACCAATCCATATTTGATTAAAACACGGGTTGTCATATCAACCATAGAACAGCAAGTTGTGTTATTTTTATACAACAGAAGATCACTTGCTAAGAAATCAAAAGTTGACTGGCAAGACTATTTTTATTACATTTGTTAGTGTAACAAATTTTTATTACAATATGTGCAGTTACACAGCATTTTTCACCTACAATTGCAACATGGATGTTACAATAGTGAGTGTAAATCATGTGTGTACCTTTTTCACAGAGTGATGTGTCAAAAGCAAAACATATAATTCCAATTTCATCATTTTTGACATATGTTAGTTAGTAGTTGTAATGTACTTAGAAATTTGTAACAGTGAAATAGGAATATGTTTATGACACAGAAGTTTTGTTTCCTTACAAAAAAAAAAAAATCCTTCATATTTGCCAACTCCAGGAATTTTTACACTTTAAGCAGAAATTATTATGGGTTAAATTAATTAAAATCCCTTATTCAGAAGAGAACATTTTTTTTCACAAACATAATTTAAGAGTTATGATCAAAATGTTTTTCATCCCTTAAAATATTTAAGTTGAATGTGAAAAAAAAAATATGAAGAAAATATTTTTTTAGAGGACAGGATGGAATGGAGGTAGTAAAATTGTGATGCATCATCAGTCTTTCTTTTTCAAGTAAGGAAGCCCAGTCTGTCTTTCTATATAACCTGTATTTATTTATTGCAAATAGTATGTATGACATTTAATGTCCCATAAATGATTCTGTTCAGAACCTAAGAAATCTTTTCACATTGTTACTCTCACTCAACTCTACCCTCCAAATAAAAAATTAAAACGCTGTTTAATTCATTTGTTTCTAGTCTACAAATTGATTAAAATTCGAGTTTATCTCTACTTCTTTAAGAGTAAGACGTATTAAATATATTAATTTTAATAAATCATCAGATTGTAGATAGGTTAATCTTTCTTTAGGCTACTAATCTGAAAAAGAACTACGAACCTCTTTCCAAGTGGTGAGGGGGATGGTGTCCCAAAGTAAAGATGACGACATGGTTAAAAAAAAAAAAAAATCAAATAACATTTTTGCTAATAATTAGTTTGCTTTTCAATTTATTTTTATATTTTATTGATTAAAAATATATAAAAAAATGTATCTTCATTTGTCAAGTTCATTAAAATAAATAAATGAATGAGATTTAAAATTTTTAATCGCTTCAAATCAAATGCTTCATAGAATTGAAAGTAAATCATGAAGGATGTTATTGTTATTGTTATGTTAATAAATTAACTGATTGCGAATTAGTATTTATTTATTTAGTTAATTGTTGACGGGCTGATGTTAAAAATATAAAATCCTAGAAAAATTGATTTTAAAAAGCAAAATATATGGAAAAGAAGGCGAAGACAAATTAAGACAAAAAAAAATCAAACAAATTCACAGTAAAAAAATGTAAAACACTTTAAAAATCATTCATCTTTTTGTTCGTCATTTAGAATTTTAAAGACATTTAAGTTTTAAGTACTACTTTCAAAAAAATTAAAAAAAACAATACCATTGAAAATCATTAATAATAATGTTACATCACTGATTATTGATCATATAATGTTTAACTTAAACATTATTAAGCTTTATAACCCTGTCTTATTCTTATAGCCATAAAGGTTTGATTGGTTATTTTTGTTTAAAATTATGAAAAAGTGTAACTTACGTGGGTTACTGGTTTCTTCTTTCAATCTTTCGCTTACGGCTTAAATGTTTCACTGTCAGATTAAAAATGAAACAACTTAAAGTAACATGTTAACTGTAATAATTACAGCATTGAGCTTTATAATTCACTGTCGGAATCTTTCATAATCTTGACTGAATGTTGCTAAAAAGCCAGATGTTGAAATGAACAAAATCCAACTCAGTTTATCAAACGAAAACCGTACTTTCTCCAAATCTTTAGTAACGGTTAAGGCAGATAACCAATTGCAAGCAACTTCCGATCAAGTTCCCTGTCTTGTGAGTGCTTCTTGATGACACCTTGCAACCGAGCGTAGCTAAAAAAAAATAATAATAATGTAGCACAAGGTGAAGCAAGCCTTTGTATACCTGTATTTAAAAAATCGTAATTTTTATTTGAACTCGAATACTATAGTTTTCCTTTTAGAATGTAATTTTTTAATGCGTGATCTTATGAATCTTCCTCATGTACAATGACAAGTATAGAGTGTGTTACGTAAATAAATATTCCAAGGGAGAAAACCCTGCGATATTTTTAGTTATTCCATTATGAAGTACGGAAGCATAAAACCTCCAAAATTATGCTATGACAATACCCTTTATTGCTAAATGTTTCTTATTTGAAACACTTGACAATATTAACTTCTTCGGAAAGAGCTGCAAAAACCTGGTTAAACTGGAAGACAACAATAACATAAAAGGTAAGCAAGACTGACCGTTCGAGAGAAAAGTTTTGATTTTCATCTGAAATTAAAATTTAATAAAGTAATATCACAAATTAAGTGTCAAGAGTTGTTATTTGCTAGGCTTAACTTATTTTGGGAAAAAAAGCCACAAGTCACCCAATGAGAATCGAACTTATTAATCTGACTAACACGACTAACTCGTTAAACCCACTCGAGATAAATTCTAGAGTAGGAAAGAAAAATAAAATGCAACTTCATAAATTCTTTTTCTTTTAGGCTTCGGTATTGTAAAATTATGGACAAAAACTTTTTTCTTTTTTTTTACTTTTTTTTTTAAATAAAGAAAAGTTGTGAGGTTGCTTGTTCAGAGAATATCAACATCTTTCTTTTTCAATCTATTCTAAATAAATAAACGGCGAATTCTGTCTGTCTCAAGCCATGTGGTATTATCAACAGTTGCCATTAATGAAGAGTGAAGTTAACGATGAAAAACTTGATGCAAAACAGCTCCAACCGTGTTTGAAGAAGCATCTGTGGTCAGTGAGGACCGTGTTCTTATCATCAGTGACGTATGTTAATTTCGTAAAATTCGCAAGCGCACGTTTCGCTCGTTCGAAGGCTGATGATTGTTCTTCATTCATTTAAATTTTACAGTTTTTTCGCTGTTGAGTTTTTAACATATTGATCAGAGGTAATAAAATTTCAGAACAATTAGGAATAAATTGCCGACCAATAAATCTGCGTAGTTGCTTTAGCTTTTAAGGTAGTAGGTTCTGAGAATTTGATGATCGCATCGACTTTAGAATTGACAAGTGAAATTAATACCAGTGCTGTCAATAGTATGACCTAACACTAGTTCAGAAACAGAGAACAAACACTTATCCAAATTGATTTTTAAACCGAAGTGACGACGTCGTTCAAATACTTCGCGTAAACTTGTGATTTAGAAGCGTTTAAAGACATCATCTATGTAAGCAAAAGTGTAATCAAAGTGTAATCAAAGCCGCGCAAGACCTTGTGATGCGTGTTCTTAGTGCATATACAAGGAGGTCGTTGTAGAATCTTCCACAACAAGCCAGTTAACCCCTGCTAGGAAATGCACTATACCTGTTGTAATTTTCACCATCACAATCTTACAAAATATATAACAAGCATTCATTGGTTAATCACCTTCAATCTAGCTTGCTGATTGGTCAGTTCCGATCAATCAAACCGCCTGCACGCGACAAATCTGTTTCCCCGCGTTCTCCATTTGAGCCTGTCATGTGGTACAACAAAATTATAAAAACAGAACACGTGTAAACTCTCTCTCTCGTCTCATTTGCCAAGATGTAATCTTCAAGAACTCCCGTCTTAACTAATGCAGTCAGACGTTAAAGGCCATTACCAACATTCACGCAAGTACGAACTCTGAAATCTCTTCTGAACTTTTACCAACTTGTACAATACACAATTCCAAACATGCTAAAGAAATTTTATTCTTCCTTGACTACAGTTTAATAAGTACTTTCACTTTATGAACTTAGGTACAAATATTACCTAATCTAAGAGACACAACTCTGTCTAACCTTTTCACTCAGTATTCATGCATGTATATCAAATATTAATAAATTCAATTGTTACGTTTTGAAACAAGATGTTTATGAATCTTTATTCTCTATCTTGTATTAATTGTTGTGGATGGAAGATAATTAAACACACACAATTTTAAGCCTTCTGATAATTCAAACCTTCTATTCCTTTCCAACACACATCCGCAACATCGTCAATGTAAGCGAACGAATGCGACAAACAACGGAGTGCGTTTCGAAGGCCAAAAGGCATTTGAAGAAATTCATATAGACCGAAAGGGGTTGTGATAGCTGTTTTGTGTATGTCTTCAGCGGCCACCGGAATTTGATAAAAAGCTTTTAGTAGGTTTATTTTTGTGAAAATTTTAGCTCCTTGCAAAGAAATTGCGAAATCGGCTAAGTTGGGCACAGGATATTTATCAGGAATTGTCTGCGCATGAAAGCGTCTCTAGTCTCCGCAGGTCCTCCACGCCCCTCTTGCGCCTTAGGGACCATGTGGAGTGGAGATACGAAAGTGCTTGATGAAGGACGAATTATGCCCAGGTCCAACATGTGCTGAAATTCAGCACGTGCTAGCTTATATATTTCTGGTCCGAGTCTACGCGGTTTTGAAAAAACTGGCGGGCCAGATGTATGAATCTTATTAACGGTTTAATGTTTTACCGTTTCGGTATATGTAAAAGGTTGGATAAGTGAGAGGAAACTTATCCAGTACGTCTTGGAGTGGATTATTTTCTGGTAGAGCGACACATAATTTGGTTGACGTAAGGGTGGAGGTTATTCCTGTATTAGTTAAGTTTAATCGTCTAGTCTATAAATGAGTGGTTCGACATATCCACGTCTAGCTTGTAATGTGCTAGGAAATCTGCGCCTAGGAAAATTTGACTTTCGCCACAGTAAAAAACCATTGGAACGTTCTCTTTAATCCAATGTTTAGAGTCATAGACATTTGACCAAAGGTTTGTATTTGGGAACCATTCGCTGCGCGTAAAGTGTATGAAGATCTTTCGGTAAGAAAACCTGGTTTGGGTGGAATTACGCTGACTTGGGGGCCTGTGTCGACCAGAAATAATTCGTCAGAACTTCCGTCTCGGACGTAAAAAAGGCGGTTGGCTTTCTCTCCCCCAACAGCAGACGCCGTCTTCATGTGCTGTTGGGACTGGCGTTTCCCGCCTTCTGGTTAGATGTAGATACTAACTGGGGTTTAAAATTGCATGGCTTGGTACAACGCCTAGCTGTCTGACCGAATTTACGATGATACCAACAAATTGTAGTCGTCCTCCAATGTGAGTTAGATCTGGAACGTCGGCGTGACTTGGGGAAGTTGTGAACTGGGGTCGAACGTTCTCTACTCATACGATCCAACTGCATCGATAACTTGTTGAGTTGTTTGAGTTTGTTAATCAAATCATCGACAGGTGTGTCGTGTGGCACAGGAATGCTCGTACTATTAAGGGTCTTAGCTTCATTTATCTTATCGGCTATTTCAGCCGTTTTCATGAGGTCTAAGTCCTTTGGAAGAGTTGCTAGGATTTGGGCGGTGTGGGTGGGCAATTTGGGATTGTATTCTTTTCGCCTGAAAAATGGCGTTTAATTCTGCAAATCAGACATGCACGTTTGTTGCATTGAAGACTGACAGGTTGAGCAATACTGTCGCTTCGTTTCCATCCTGGTCGGCCATTTTGGGAAGTTTTTTGAAACGAACGTGGGAGAGAAAAATTTCTACGCGCCAAGTTGAATTTCTGTATATTATTTTATTTTAATGTTGGCACAAAATTGAGTTTTCCTTCGCTTTCTTTTTGAATCACGTCGGCGGTCACCAATTGTGATGCGTGTTCTTAGCGCATATATCTATTGTACATTTAACGATTCAAGAAAAACAACGAAACTCCACTTGTGGATCAACAAATAAATATATATTGAAATATAACATACAAAACAATCATGCAATGATTAAGGAAAAAAAGTTGTTCCTCTTCAACTGTATTCTGATTTATGATTGAATGTGCGAAAGAGTTTCTCTTGAATAAGAATGTTCAGGATTCTATGTTGAATAAAGTTTGCTGTTTGCTGTTAGAATAGAATACAGTTAATTAAGAAATGTGTTGTTTAGAGAAATTAATAGAGTTCTGGTTTATGAACTTGGCTGAGTCACAGAGAGAGATATGTATAATGTGTTACAAAAATCTGTCTGTGTGTGCGTTTGAAATGTTGTGAATAAAATCGTAGATTTGTGTGGACAGGCGAAATAGCTGGACTCTAATGGCGGCTTGTGGCAAAATTGCTTCTTTTTAAGGTACCGGTAGGCTCCGAGCGAAAACGCGTGAAAAATTGATTTAGTATTAAAATGTTTGATTGGTTAAAATTTGACCAATTACTGATTTTGTATCAAAGAAACATGTAAACAAGTTCACGACCGAAAAATTCAATGTGATGACTGCGATTGCTAAATTGTCTTATAGAAAAGCAGTATTGATTTACTAGCCAATCACAGATGAATAAATTGTGGGCGTTGAAAAGCATAGCAGTCGCTACAACCTCATCTATAAGATGTTGAAAAGATTGGACTGCATTTCTAAGCCCGAAAGGCATACGAACGTACTCAAAATGACCAAATGGAGTGGTTACTGCAGTTTTTTCAATATCCCGTTTAGCGATGGGAATCTGATGAAAAGCTTTCCGCAATTTAAATTTAGAGAAGACTTTAGCGCCTTGCAGAGTAACTGCAAAATCTCTCAAATGAGGAATAGGATATTTATCCGGTGTAGTTTGAGCATTTAATAAACGATAATCACTACACGGACGCCAATCATTAGCTCCAGGTTTAGGAACCATATGCAAGGGAGTAGCATAGGGACTGGAAGAAGGGCGAATAATTACCTGTTGAAGAAGACGCTGAAATTCAGCTTTCGCAAATTTATATTTTTCAGGGTGAAGACGACGCGGGCTGGAATGGATGGGAGTTAATAGGAGTTGTAGAACAAATACCTAGGGTTCGTTTAAAGGTACGAATACCCTTAATGGATAAGGACAGTTAGTGTGCGAGTGGCCACATTCACTCGTAGATTGAAGTGTGCAAGAAAGTCAGCACCTAGTATTGGCATATCAACTTGGGCTACTACAAAACTCTAGTAAAACTGTCGTCGTAGTCCAATATTCAGAGTGAGTAATTTTTTCTCCGAATGTTTTAATCTTAGTTCCGTTCGCCGCTTATAGTTGCAAATAAGAGGTTGCATGCATCATAGACCGTGTTGGTGGTATAACACTTACTTGTGTACCGGTGTCTACCAAAAAGTTGAGTTTTGAATTACGGTCAGTAACATAAAATAGGCGGTTGGCAGTTTGCGCTCCAGCGGCTAATTCTGCCTTTAATGGCTGCCGGGATACCCGTTTTCCGAATGTGTAAATTGAGGGAAACTGCATGGTTTAATGCATTTAAATGCTCGCCGTCCAAAGTGTTTATGGTACCAACACTCCCGCCCGAACTTGCTTTGATGGTGGCGGGAAGCGGATCTGCCGGTTGCATGGTACTGCTTATGCTGAAATTGACTTCTCCCTTGCTGCATCTGCTGAGGAATATCTTGAAATTGTAATGTCAACTTAGAAATTTGGTTGTTTAGTGTAGATATAGGGTCTGCAGGTTCGGTAGTGGAAGAAATTGCTGAAAGTACTGGGGTAGCGGGTTCTGAATTGGCTATTCTATCTATTTTGGTTAATTCAATATCCTCGGATAGAGAAACTATGATCTGAACCATGTGGGGTTTCAGTTTGTCTAGCCAAAGTTGTTTCAGGATTTTGTCAGACATTGAGTAGAATTTTCATTCGTCGGAGAAGCTGTGAAGGTTTATTGTTCCCGAGTGAAATGTTTGTGAATAATTCTTTCAATTTGTGTTCAACCGAATGTCCAGTTCGCTGAAGTATAGCATCTCTTAGCTTGTCGTACGGTTTATCGGCAGGCATATCCGTCAGGAGGTCGGATATTTCGGCATCTATATCTGTAGGAAGTTTCTCAATCACATATGCGTATTTCGTTGACTGTGAAGTTATGTGACGTGCCGTGAAAATAGCGTTGACCTGTTGAAACCATGTTTGAACATTTGCAATGAAGTCAGGCAGGTTAACTTGAGTGAAGATTCAGTCTTGTTGTCACTTGTTTCCACCATATTGTTTTACACACGTGGGAAAGAGAGAGTTGCGCGCCAAAAAGATATGCCCAGCGAAGAAAACTGGAATTATCGAAAAAATTTTGGCAAGAGAAACTGTAATGGCAAGAGATTCACAAGCAAGATTCTAAAATGTTTTGAAGTAATTGAGTATATCGTAAAGATCCAAATTTAACAGAGGAAATGTGTCCCTGAAGTCGACGAGACAGGCTGTAGTGTAAATTCAAGTGCCGATGAATCAAGTCAATAAACTTGGTAGGAGTACCAATACTTTTTAAAACGTCGGGTTACCAATAAATTTAAATGTCGGGGTCGCCAATAAATTTATGTAGTGGATCTAAGAATGATGCGTGAATGTTTAAGATTGTGCTGCAAATAAAATATGCAATATCCACAAACATAAATTATAAGAAATGGCCAAATGGTAACAATATTCAATCATGACAAAAAATACATGTTTGAAACAACAGATTAAATTTTATATACACAATTTACAATTTCTTTGTTTGTAATGATGTGTGCAGAAGTATAGAGAAAAAGTTGTTTGCTGTTTCGGAAATGTTCAATGTCTAAAAAGTTGTCTGCCTTTGATTGAAAGGTTGAATTTAACTTTCTATGAAAGATATTAAGTCAAAAAGTTTGTTGTATGAATTTTTCTAATCTCTCATAAAGAAAGTTTGTTTCTTTGGCGGCAATTTTGACACATAATTCCCGTGTGTATCTTTGCGTGTGTGAGTCTCAAAATGCGACGAAAATTCGTTTATTTATAGTTTTTTTAACAACAAAATCAGCTCCAGCGGCTTGGTAGCTTGTTGCGAATTTTTCTGAGAAATGCGTGGGCGAATGTTGTATTTTTTATTTTTTTACCCAATAGGATTTCTTGAAACATTTAAATTAGGGATGAATTTGAGAAAGTCTTTTTTTTTTATATCAGTTGAGCCTATTTTGGCACAAATTTTGACTGTTTTGTTATGGTAGCTTATAATAACCTGCCTGACTTAACAACCAATGAAATTCAAGAAAACGTTTGAAAATTAAAATGAAGGTTACTAAAAGATTTTGAAGTTCCACAGAGTTTGTGATTTGAAGAAAGCAACTCAATTGAAGTTTCACTGAGTTTGTGATTTGAAGAACTCAATTTTCTGCCTGAACTGGAATTTCAGCCAAAGTTTCAGCACAAATTGGTCTTTTAACTAGAATTGGACTTATAGCCCAAATCAGAGTTAAAATGAGGTTTTGAAGTTCCATGGAGTGAGTTGAGGAATTCAAAGTTATTTCTTCAAAATACCATGGAAAAATCCAAAGACCAGAGCTTTAATGTAAGGGGAGAGAAGAGCAGAAGAAATACCAAAGGAGACACAAACTAGGAGACAAGATCAAGATCATCTGAAACATCAGAAGAGGTACAAGCCAGGATGCTGCAAGGAAGAGAAGGACAAGCGCTGCAGTGGATGACAGTCAGACTTTATCAAGGAGTGAAACAGATGCTGTGAACCATAGACGAGCAAGATCTTTGAAAACAACTGATGAAATACATGCCAGACAGGTTAGTGATAATCACGATCATGCTAGAAGGATTGCAGCTTCTTTTTTGAGCATGTCCAAGATGACTTTTCAATACAACTGGGACAGTGATTATTCAAATTGAATTAAGCATATAGTAGCAAGAGAAAGAAATAATGAAGATTAGAGTGAAACAATGTTTATCATTGGCAAAGAATACTGGAATGGCGATCTCGTGTATGTGTAGTGTCAGGAGTTGAACCATTTCTTGTGCCATCGTAGCTGAGGTCACAGGATACAGTTGGTACACGTTGTTTGGTAGAGGTCATGGTTGTAGGTTGTCCTGTTGGTTGGCCGACCTGTTATATTGAAATTCGGTGACATCAGACTGACATGGTCTTGGTAGCCCTGTTCTGTGGAGAGGATGTCACTGGGGTCAACTACAAAGGAAATGCCTTGTAAATGAGTTGAGGCATGCTGA